TGTTTATTTCATCATTAAAGAATTATTTCATAGAAGAAGGTGGCACAACGGGGGATCAACGTTTAACAAAGGAATACAAAGGAAATCTTTAAAAATCATCTCAACCATATCAAAGCCATGATTAGTCATAGTAATGTGAAAGTATCCTCTGATAGTGAAATCAAGTTTCAGGTCAAGACCCCGGGGGCTGAGGTGGGACGATTTAACTTGAATCTACATTACCTGAAGATGCTACCCATAAATATAACCAATCATGTTTTTGTTGTTTTTGAGAAGATTTTTATCTTTTTCCTATGAATTACTATGTAAAACCTCGATCCCCCATTGAGGCCCCACCCTTCCCACAGGGGTCATGATTTAAACAAACTTGAAACTTCACTACCTGAGAATGCTTCAATATAAATACAGTGTATGGCCAATCATGGCTTTGTTATTCTTGAGATAGATATTTTCTCAATTTTTCCTTTTTTTCTTATACACGCCTTTCCTCAGGGGTCATGGTTTGAATAACCTTGAATTTACACTACCTGAGAATGCTTAATTATAAATTAGATCAATCATAGCTTTGTTGTTCTTCAGATGAAGATTTTGCGAAAGTTTCCCAATATATTCCTTTGTAGAATTTTGATCTCCTATGGGGACCCCGCCCTATCCCCGGGAACATGATTTGAACAAACTTAAAGCTACACTACCTGAAGATGCTTCCACATTACTTTCATCTTTCCTGACCCTGTTGTTCTTGAGAAGATTTTTCAAACATGCTACTAATTTTTCAATATTTCCTTATTATTATCGTGGCCCTTCATTTAAACAAACTTGAATCCCCTTCACTCAAGAATGATATTAATGTATAAAGTTTACCGACGGACAGACAAACAGCCTTTCGGACGGACGGACAAACGGACCACAGACAAACTGTGATCAGAAAAGCTCACTTGAGCTTTCAGCTCAGGTGAGCTAAAAATCTTTAAAATTTATGTTCCTGAGAACACCAAAGTTGTGATTGGTCACCATTCTCGGATAGTGTAGATTCAAGTTTGTTCAAATCATGACCCCGGGGGATAGAGTGGTGCCAAAATGGGGTATCAGAGTTTTAAATAGGAATACATGGGGAAAATCATTAAAATAATTTACGAAGTCATCAATTTTAAAGCATCATTAAAGTTGATAAAACAATCACCATCTGCCATTATATGTCATAAGAATTCAAAAGCATTCTTAGGAAGTGCAAAGAGACAAGAACGCGTTAGCTAATGTCAACAGGCCCTGTAAAATAAATAAAAAATAAAGTTTGCCTCTGCCAAGTTTTCATGTATATTTATAAAGTGTAAGATCCTAGGTCTTTGTATATGTAAACATTTGGGCGGATCCAAACGTCTCATGCTGCTATATGTAACATCCGAACCTTTGACGTATCCGAAAAACCAAAGATTTTCCACACCTTTCACACATTGCTGCCAAAATCTTAAGTAGACATATCTCAAGCAAATGCGATCTGTGCTCTTGAAGGGTCATTTTAAGTAAACTATAAAATATGATGATTATTGTTGTTATATTTATGAAATGTACATCATGAAGTCTTATCTATATAATTATTTTCATTTTATAACACCCCCCCCCCCCCGATTTTTATTTACTAACGTACTTGGCTCTTTAAGTTTGATAATGCACCAACCCTCCTCCCTCAGACCCACTTTTATAATATGTTTAGATTATTTAATACTGAACCGATTTTAACTTTTACCAAGCTAGTTGCTCAGGTGAGCGATGTGGCTCCCTGTGCCTCTTGTTTAATCACTAACAACAACTTATTTCTTGTATTTCACTTGAATCAAGATTTGAATGAATAAATGATTAACGGCGTTTTCTGAAATTAAAAACGATCAATTAAACAAAATATTAAACAAAATAAGATCTGCATACATGTATCTACATCTGTTTCTAAACATATTGCGAGATTTTGAAGAATTTCTTCATGCCATTGATTTTATGACCAGGTATGGATAAGTTTACAGCGTTTGATGAGTTTTCTGGACATGCATCGACTAAAAATAGACATACAAAGCAAAGACACTGGTTGTTTGTTCCGTTCTGAAGGTTGATAATTTCAAATAAAGGTGTACGAGTTTTAATGCCTTACTTATTATTTCAAGTTTATTCTGCACATATAAGCGTACTGTAAAAATTACGCCGCATCTATATTTTTCTAACAAAGTTTCTCTTTTGTATTTTAAAACAATGGTTATTCCTAAATTTCATTAGGATTTTTAAATCTATTGTGGTTTTGAAATGTTTTGATCAACTCAAGTTCAACTCAGTTCATTCGAAATGTGCATAAGTCGATAGTCAAACATGCATGTAATACTAGTAATCGTTGAAGTGTATCAAACCCATTGGGTTATATTTCGTTGCAATAAGAGAAGGCATCTGAAAGAAATACACATGTATGACGGAATATAGAGCTAGTTGGTTTGCAACAAGTCGTACACAAATAAAATTCGTGTTTTTAAGAATTCATCTCAGCTTTAATCTATTTACAGAATCGAACTTGACCCATATTTTTGTTTGATATTTTGAGCGTGTGCATTACAGGTAAAGAGATTAACCATCCGATATAATTTAAATTTTTAGATATGATATCTTAAGCTGTCAACTATCATTTGGCAAAGAAAAATTTCATGCATTTTAGTTTAAAAAATTGATTTTTTTTGTATATATTTATGTGGAACTCTCCTTCTAAAAGAGACCAAAACAGTCTTAAAATGGCCACAGCTCCCCAGACCTTTTAAGATCATACGCAACGTAGTTTGAACAATGATGGATTCTTCCCTGGAGGTGAAGAGTTCCACTAAATGAAGGACCTGTGTGTAATACTTTTAATGTCTATGTATAGATTTGTACACCTTTTCTAAAACAAATTCTGATGGAAAAAAAATCTGGAATTTACGTTTCGTATTTTTTGTATATTTTTCTTTGAATAAGGCAAACATTTTCATAATTTTATATCTTCCAAAAACCCCTGGTAATGCATGCTGATTTTTTGTCTATGAACATCTGATGGCACTGTAATCTTAAATTAAGAATATCTTTAAAAGTTATCAGTAGTTAAGGTATGTTGCGTATGTCCTTAAACGATTTGTAAAATATTTTAAAACCAGAAACCTCTCCTTAAAAGTAACATACAGTACGTAAATCAAACAAACAAGGATAAGTTTATTTGCTGTTAATTAATATAAGAGAACATTTCTATTAACAATTTACTTTTAAAAGGCGAAACTTAAAGATTTATTACAAAAAAAATCGAAAAAATTAATTATTTTGAACAAGTAGTCCGAGTTTTTATCCTATAAGCAAATAAACAGAGTATTTTTCTTTCACTGTAACGATCGATGCATTGTTTCTTTAAACCTCATAGGATTAAAGTACCGACTTCAATGTCATACTGAAAAGTCAAGCCCTTGTTTTCACTTTGAGACAAATTGCCTCGAATGGAATAAAAATCTAATAAACATTTGTTTTAATCATGTCAGGCACATAGTATTATTAAGAAGAAGGGGACCATTCAGGAAAAAAATACTTGAAAACTTATCTAAAAAATCGTAAAAAAAATATAGTAAAAAGGAAAATTTATGGACTTTTTCACAAGAAAAAATATTTTGATATATTGACATGGCAGGATGAGATCTTTCTTAAGTACTCTGATCAATTTGCTCATTAAATGATACCCCCCGCCTCCCGTATGATTATAATGACAAAGTCCATGTTTTGCTCTTGGAGACCCGAAATAAGTGTCAGATCAAAAAGTAAAATAAGAGGTTCACGATGGCATTATGTGATAAAGAATCAGTGAAAGTATCATTAAATTTATTTCAGTAGTATAGGAGTACTTGCGGATAAAATATGGGTACCCTTCAATATTATAGAAAAAAATGGCAGTGTCAATGTTTTGCACTGGAAAACCCAAAACATTTATCCGATCAAAATGTAAAATAGGAGAGGTGCACAATTGCAAAATGTAACAAAGATTAAAGTCTTATTAAATTTCAATCAGTGGTAAAAGAGGAGTTGCGGATAAGAAATAGCTAGGTACCCCAAAGCGTATCAGACAGACCGACGGACAGCTATACAGACAGACGGACGGACATCCCAATTACTATATACCCTCCCGCTTTTCAAGCGGGGGATATAATAAAAAGTGTGTGAAGATGGATCTGTTCATCAGCCTTTCAGAGAGCAGTTTGCAGTAATCACTCTTCCTCCTTCCACAACACCGTTGAAGTATCCCTAATTGTATAAAGTTTCCCATGGGAAAATATGCTATTATTAAATAAAAATGATACCTTATTTCTATTCAAACTATATTTATTTATAATTAATTTTATTTCTTAAAATACATAACGTCGACTGCGAAGTAAAGAAAACCTGTGTTATGAAAGACATTATTCTGTAAATGAAAATTCATTCCATTTGATTGAATCTTAAAAAACGTGATATAACCCCTCGAAAAGTTTAAGTTTTGAAATACAGAAAAATATTCTCAGTTCTTATTTCTAATACATTTTTCAACCTTTTCTGATAGAGTTTTGATGAGATTCAACTAATTTAAGAGAAAGAAATAAATTCAAAATTTTGACAATGAATATTGATTGTAGCGGTCATAATTGAACTCTTAAATGTTCTTAATGGTTTCCATAAATATTTAATCTGTTATATTTCAATATACACTTCGTTTGTGTTGCACGATAATTGATTGCCTTTAGTCAATAAACTAAGAAATTAAAATCATACAAAAGTAACTACGTGAAAGGAAAGACAAAGTTGAAATCATGTTGAAGATAATGGACTTAATTTCCCTCGTTTTGATGTTTTTTCTCTCCTTTTCTAAAATCTATGGCGCTGCTTTACTTTTCCACGAGACATTCACTCACACTGGAAACAATTTGTACAGTAAAGTGAGTCATGTCCTAACTGAGCATCCATCACCTCTTCTGGAAAATATTATGGGATTCTGTTCCCGAAAATGCATCCATGACCTGCAGTGTAATGGATTCGAACTCTGTGCCCTCAGCGGTGGATCTGAGACCTGCCGCTTGACTAACGGGGCTTCGAATGGGACGTTTGATTCACTGACTGGTGAACTCTGTAAATACTATCACATGGTATGATTTAAGTTTTGTTTGTTTCTCTAGAAAGGCAAATTATTTTGTTTTTAACATCACCTTGTTAGTCAAAAAATCAAAAATGTATTACAATTGATTGGATTTAGAAAGTATATTTCCTCTAACAGAATTCCAAATATATTTTCTTATCGAATACCACATTTGTAACAAAAATAAACTGAAAAAAAAAATCATAATCATAAGATCGCCAACTTATGAATATTAATTCTTGAAAAAATTCAGCTTCATGTATTTTACAGTTTTATTAACTTAACATCACAATGTTTATATTAATTTTCTTGTTAAAAATTTCTAACATGGCAAATGGAAAATAAACACATTAAATTGTTCTCTCTCTCTCTCTCTCTCTCTCTCTCTCTCTCTGACATTGATCTTCTACATTTTTACCTTATTTTGCCCCGAAAAGTTTAATTAAAAGGTCATACAAGTAGAGCTTTTCAAAAAAGCTTACCGTCTTTAGCAACAATTTAAAACAGTAAACAGGTCTATACTTAACAGGCCGTACAATTCTTTTGAATTTCTTGATTTGTATTTCTAAATTAGCTTTTTACGGGCATTAGCCCTACCACGGTTGTCGGTCATTTCCGTAAACTTTGACTGGCCGAGAGCTTTCGGCAAACCTCGGCTGATTCCCATTCACTCTTCAAACAAGAAAGGGGAAAAGAATAATAACAAATTGTAAAGCCTGCCAGCAATAACTATCAAATTTTATTTATAATGAAATTAAAGAGACCTTTTTATTTATTGCTATATAAAATATCATGTTATTAAGAAATAACTACTGCTGATTTTGTTGTTCGTTTTGTCATTTTTTTAAGATTGGAAATCTTGCAAAATTGTTAAGTCGTACGAAAAATAGATCATCAGAAAGTTATCTCCCTTGCCTTGAACAGCATTTCAACCAATGAAATAATTGAAAATTTTCTCATCATGCAATTTCTACCAATCACAAAAGAGAGGAAGTGCATAGTCCGAAGACTGTAAAAAATTTCAACTATACAATACCGTCTTCCAAGGAAGACGGTAATGATTATTCCCAAAATATTCCTGACAATTCAATTATTTCTGCAATTAAATGTAAAGCAGAAATAAAAAAGGGATTTCACTTTTACTAAATATACTATTTTTCGAAGTAAATTCATTAATGAATAACTTAATTTGTTGCGCCAAGAATATTAAAAAAAAAAAAAAGAACCACAGTGTATGCACGCTAACTCTCGATTCTAGCCAACATTTTACACCCACTGAATTCAATTTTAATGCTAATTTGGCCATAAACTTCTAAATTTGATACGAAAAACTAGGGATGTGCGATTTTATCGGTATACCGGTATATTGCGATTTTTTGTTGCGTGATACGTATCGTGATACAGAGATCTAAATACCGGTATTTATGTACATATTATAAAGTCCAGATATTATTCATTTTTTTGTTCAATCTTTTCAAATTACAATTACAGAAAGTATAAAAATGTTCTAAAACGTGAAAAGAACGGCATCTTACCGTCCAAACATAGTTGATTTTACAAAATGTATATACATGAATATTTCAAAAAAATAAAATTTTGTTTTTCAAGCCAATTCTTTTTAGAAAAGTAATGACTTTTCATATAAAAACATTGTAAAAACTTTTTTTTTAAAATATCATGATTTTATCATGATATTGTTGAAAAAAATCGTGATATATCGCGATACGAAATTTTTGGCGATACCCATCCCTTCGAAAAACATTTCAATGGTTGTAACAGAATTTTTTTAATGCCAGTGCTTAAAATTATTTGATCATCAATTAGAGCTTTTAAAACAAGGGGTGCGTGTTAGATGATATTTTTCCATTGAAATCGGGCTTTAAAGCATCATCATGTATTGAAATAATCTTGGATATGGTTAAATGTGTCTTGTATCTTTTCTTATCTCTTAAACATATAAAATGTTTACACATATTTACATATTTACACATACTTACATATATTTACAATATATGTTTACACAAAACATAAATTAGTAAGATGCAACGATGTTTTAGTTTTAGTTTCACTCTGTGAATTTGGCGAAAAATGAGCATTTTTGTCTCTTTTTTTTGTCTATGAACAAGTATTTCACATTTTAGGATGATGACTGTGGAAGTGGCATGCAGCTGAATAGAATTAGCGGTGCTTGTGAAAGTATACCTGGGCAGGTAGCAGGAACATATCTAGGTACGTGATGACGCTGTAATGACGTCACAAAGGGTTACTTTCTTATCTATATTTGTATTAACTTTCAGTTCATGACAAGTTGCGCATGGAGCATATTTGATTTTATATTGAATTTAGCCTGAATATGGTCCATTGACGGTTTTTAAAAATATGTATTCATTTATTTGGGAGCAGATGGGAGTAAAACTTTTTCTCCAAATTTTCGAAAAGCGATATTACGACCCTCGATCGACAATTGATGTGTAAACTTTGCAGTAAACTGTAATTCAGCATTTATATTGCTGGCTAATTTTAGATTGAAAATATTAATTTAAAGTTTTGTATTAAGGAAAAAAAGTAGATTGTAATAACTTGTTCAATAAATTGTACCCAATGATAGATAGCCAACGTAATTCCAGTAAATCATTCGAACACGTATCAATTTAAAATGATTATTTAAAAAAACTCCTTATTGTATTGTGCCTTCTAAACGTAACTTTTTTTTTCAAAACGTAGGTTGTTCAGACTGTGATTGCATAGCCTCGTTATCAGGTGCCAGCGGGGTCTACACAGTGACCATTAATGGCGGACCAATTGACGTTCAGTGCGTCATGAAGAATGGCTATGCCTACACAGTATGTTGTTAAATTGTTTCATATATTTCCTCCCTCTTTTTCATTCATGTTTCTTTTACTTATCAGAACATAAATTTGATATAATGGTGCCATGTTTTCTACACTCAAGATTGATTTTTTCCCCTGATGATTACGTCAACATGATAGATTTTGCTAACGTAACGTCAAACATGACTGCGTCAACACGCAACCAGAGATATATTTCTTAGATGTCTCTGATAAATCGATCTTTTTTGATGCCTGACGGGCAAAAAAAAAAAAACAAAACAAAAAAAAAAACAAAAAACACACACACCACATAACTGGACAAGAATAAGGAAAATCATAATAAAATATTTATATTATACATGTAGTAATTATCCTGCCAGAAAAATAAATTTCAAACATTTTTAAAAGATTTTTTTAAGATTGTAAAAAAATTTTCTTTTTACAAATAAATGCTGACAGAATGTTCACACCGAGGAAGATGTTAAATGAGTTAAAGTATTTAATAATATGTCCTCTGAAATAAAATGGACCAGAAGTAATTAAAGAAGGAAGGGGGTCAGTGATATATTGTATCCCATGCTACATTAATTCCACATTAAATGTTGTCCTTTCCAGGTAATCATGGACAGAAATGACGGTAGTGTGGACTTCTATAGAACTTATGCTGAATTTGAGACTGGATTCGGTAGTCCGTTCACGGAAACCTGGATAGGTGAGAGAGAGAGAGAGAGAGAGAGAGAGAGAGAGAGAGAGAGAGAGAGAGAGAGAGAGAGAGAGAGAGAGAGAGACTTGGCCAAAATAAATATATGTATATCAAAATAATAAATTCATAAAATAATTTTGAAATTAAGTAAACGTTGATGCATATATGTAACTCAATTATGTTAAAATTTTATCCAGAAAAAGGATATGTACGTAATGTGCATTGTTTGTTTCCGCCTGAATACCCTACATGTACTGTGTAGCTAATATGTTTTTGTTGGGCGGATGGATGGGTAGAGGGAATGTTACCTGTTTTAAAAAATTCCATGAATAGTTAACGAAAAATTGAGTTAGGTGGATAAAAAATATGTTAAACTTCGATATTTAATGAAAATAAATTAATTTTTATACTCAAAGATCAAAGATGGGTTACAATTATTCTGTCTTAACATTTGCCTGTGTAATTGTCCTAACATTTATAATATATACAATAATTGAAAATACCTTAAGATAGCTATTCTTTATCGGAGTTTCAAGTTTCACTTCAATGAATAAACTGTAAATAATTTCAGATAATTTGATTTGAAAATTCGTTTAAAATATCTCGCATATGAATAAATTAACATGTTTCACTGGTTACTCTGAAGGAATCCCCCCACTATGTGCTGATCCGCCCCTTGATATTCAAAATCGCGGACAATCGACACCTTCTCCACAGGATTCAAAACTCTTACTGGGAGCCCAGACTCGCTGTTCCCACCCTCCTGCTTGATATTGACGAACTGCGGCTGTATGTCCTTAAAAACAGTTTACTCTTCGGCAGCTGCAGGACCATTCGTAATGTGGATTCTCGTCACACATGCACATGACTCTGAATGGTTCCCATCAAGAAAATGTGTAAAACACTCTTTAAGCCTCGCACACTGAAAAATATTTTATGTTTAAAGAACTCCAAATCATTTTTACACATACATGTAGAAAAACCCTAACAAACGATCATACGTGTCCATAGGCATACCGTATAGCGGGTTTTCTTGGCGGGTGTAAAATTTGGCGATTTGCCTGGTGTACGGTATGCCAAAAATTTTGGCGTAATTTATTTTAGCGGACACAGGATTTCAGCTCTATAGTATTCTATCGACAAACTGAGCAAATAAACAAATGCACTTGTCGGCAAGATTAATAGGATGAAAAAAATCTAATTTTGATAGCAAGCCTTTTTAGCTCACCTGAGCTGAAGGCTCAAGTGAGCTTTTCTGATCACATTTTGTCCGGCGTCCGCTGTCCGTCTGTCTGTCTGTCCGTCTGTCTGTCTGTAAACTTTTCACATTTTCGACTTCTTCTCAAGAACCGCTGGGCCAATTTCAACCAAACTTGCCACAAAGTATCCTTGGGTGAAGGGAATTCAAGTTTGTTCAAATGAAGGGCCACGCCCTCATTCAAGGGGAGATAATTGGGAATTAATGAAAATATGGTAGCATCTTTTAAAATCTTCTTCTCAAGAACCACAGTGCCAGGAAAGATGAAACTTATGGGGAAACATCCTCAGGTAGTGTAGATTCAAGTTTGTTCAAATCATGACCCCCGGGGGTAGGGCGGGGCCAAAATGGCCGACCTAAGTTTTACATAGAAATATATAGAAAATTCTTTAAAAATCTTCTTCTCAAGAATAGCAAGGCCATAATTGATCATATTTATATGGAAGCATCCTCAGGTAGTGAAGGTTCAAGTATGTTCAAATCATGACCCCCAGGGGTAGGGTGGGACCAAAATGGCCGACCAAAGTTTTAGATAGAAATATATAGGAAATTTCTTTAAAAATTTTCTCCTCAAGAACAACAAAGCCATAATTGATCATATTTATATGGAAGCATCCTCAGGTAGTGTAGATTCAAGTATGTTCAAATCATGACCCCCAGGGGTAGGGCAGGGCCAAAATGGCCGACCAAAGTTTTACATAGAAATATATAGGAAAATTCTTTAAAAATCTTCTCCTCAAGAATAGCAAAGCCATAATTGATCATATTTATATGGAAGCATCCTCAGGTAGTGTAGATTCAAGTGTGTTCAAATTATGACCCCCAGGGGTAGAGAGGGGCCAAAACGGCCGACCAAAGTTTTACATAGAAATGTATAGAAATATTCTTTAAAAATCTTCTCAAGAATAGCAAAGCCAGGATTGGTCATGGGACTACTTTTGGATTTAAGCTTTTCAAGTATAAACCAATTCTGCTTTTTCCTAGCTACAGTGCTCAGGTGAGCGATGTGGCCCATGGGCCTCTTGTTTTAATTCAAATTACTACCGGTTTCCTATCGTTAGAACGAAAATATTCCAACATGAAGAAGAAAAGTAGTATCAGCTGATGTGAACTAATCGGACCACTCTGGCCTAACTGGTCACATTTATACGCCTTTTAAAAGGAATTAATTTACATTCTACACTACTCAACGGTTACACTAAATTGGAAAAAAAAATAAAATCCATAAAACTTTACCGGCCAAAACTAAACAAAAGAAACTTTATTGGAATCAACTTTATTTCAAAAGGAGCAATCCAACTGCATATGCAATGACCATATTTTGACTTTAATTTTATCATCATCAGGCACTTGAATGATTCGTCCTTCTTTTCACTGCAGGGGAGGGAGGGGGAATGTGAAGCCAAAGCTAACTAATGATTGTACCCAGCCTGTGAATGTGTCAGAGTACTAGTAATAGTCCTGCTGTTAACAGGGTAATAGAGAAACCAGTTTATAACATACAGTATAATGATACCTGGTAAGTCTTCTTTGATTGTAGGAAACCTATATATCCATCTGTTGACGGCCGGGGGTAACACAGTGCTGAGGTTTGAATTCGAGGATTACTCTTCAAACACTCGGTTTGCTGAGTACAGTAGCTTTAATGTCGGATCGACCTCAACTAATTATCTCATGACGGTTTCCGGTTATACTGGAGATGCAGGTAAATATATTAGAAATTAACTACTAACGAATTTATTTTAAAAAAGCCTCAAGAGATACAAAACAATTGTGACCTCAGAGCGAGAGAAATAAAATTTCATTGTACATAATTATTTATCTCATACGTGTTGGTGATACATGCCGTTGGATAAACTTATGCTTTATCAACGGGTAGATGCTTTATCAATATCACTTCCGGTGTCGTATAGTGAGACTTCCCCCATAGTGAGGCTTCCCTCGGAAGGCTGGCTATATATTGAGCCTTCCCCCCCGGAAGAATGGCTATATAGTGAGACTTCCCCCACGGAAGTTTCACTATATAGCCGTTCTTCTGGGGGGAAGGCTCACTTTATAACCAGCCTTCCCCCATTCATAGCGAGACTTCCCCCTCTTATTATAGTTTCCGGAACATTGTTTTATTATTTTAAAAAAAATCTAACAGTGTTAATTTATGACGAAATTATCTTCCATACATATACATGTATTTATATACCGGTATTTATTTTATATACATGAACAGTTTGAATATCCTTTTAACTGTTTGATATCCATTATAAATATGCATGTACATTGAGATGATATAATATATATGATATGTATACCCTTTCCTTTATATACATGTATCGATGACGAATAATTTTATTAGTTCACGAGTCACTTATATGAAATGTTCTGATTGTTTTCAGCATTTGAATAAAAAAAAAATTGATAGCAATGGTTTTTTTTTTGTTTTTCTGTTTGTGTACAAACATTAGCTATTTACACATTAGATATGGTTTAACCGATTTCATAAAAAATGTAGCGAAAAGAAGAAAAATTTATAGTACTGTCGTTTACTAATTATTGAATTAGAAATTCAAATAATGAGTACACGACAATTAAGTAACGTATTTCCAACTCGGCCTATGGCGCTTCTTATCCCAATGCTTCCAATGCGTTTGATAAGGGGAAACCGTTTTACTTTATAAGCAGAAATAAAGATGCTCAAAACAACTTAAAATATTTTCTGGATTTATTTTTGTATTTCTCTCGGACTACAGTTTGGTCTTGACGGCACGGCTGTCCGTCTCCAACTGACTAACAAAAGACAAGTTGAGTAAAAACAAATTAAGCACAAAGAAGAAATTACGTGTCACACAAAGAGATAAGATAAAAGAGTGACATTCTATAGATGGACAATTAAATAAACATGTCACATTAACAGCGTTGTTATAAAAATCACCCGTAAATCCTTGTCGTGGTCAAGGTGTGAAAATTACTTTATGGGATTAACTCTGTTTAACACCAATTGATAATTTGATTAAATACAAAATGGTTCCCGTGGAATGTAAGATATTTTGCTAAACAAATACAGGATCAGAACGCTTTCATAAAATTATCACAAATAGCATCAAAAATAACTATAAAACAAATCAGTAATTATTAGGAATATGAACATTTAAAAATCGTGTAATTTTTCATCACGACAAATGTCGTTTACTAATTATTGAATTAGAAATTCAAATAATGAGTACACGACAATTACCCCTTTAGCCACGATAAGTTTGGTCCCCAAACTTGAAAACAAATTTTACAGTTTTTATTTAATATCGTCTGGGATTGCCACGATAATAATTTTTGGAAGTCCGAAAATGTCCATGGTTCACGTGCACCTGCTGTACACTTGGCTGAGCCGGTGAATGGCGATGGTCCTCACGCAGTAATTCCCGCCGAATCTGTAGAAGACTTGATCGGAGGCCTTCATTGGAAGTTTTTAAGCTTTCGTTTTCCTCTTTAAGTTTTTGGTTTTCCGACGCGAGATGCAGCTCTTTGTTTGTCGGACTCACTTGTTGCAAAGTGGCAATGGTCTCTTCATAATTTAGGCAGGTTTTCTGGTAACTGGAAATAATTTCTTCCATCTCTCTCATTTGATCGTTTCGACTGTTCATTAATGAAAGTAATTGATTGTACAATTCGTCGTTCTCGGTAATAACATCTTTCTGTTTTTGAACAGTTTCTGTCGCTATTTTAGTTAAAGAACACTGCTTATTGTATTTAGTTTTGATCGCTTTTAGCTCAGTTTTCAAGTTACTTTCAAGATCTAAAGACCGTTGAAATGCGGTTGAACTTAACGAAGAAAAGGGCAGCAATCGCATGGTGTTCTTTCTGTCAAGGTAGTCCTGTAGACGCTTTTTGTTCCTCTGTTGTACTTTTTCAGGTTTGTTTGATTTTGGTGTTGATCGTTTGGAGCGGCATACTCGTCCAAAGTGTCCGAATTTTCCACATTTGTGGCACTGTTTTCCAATAGAATTGCACATGCGGAATGGGTGACATTTTCCGCAGCGTATGCATGTTTCAAATGGGTTCTGCACAAACGGACAAGGTTTAAAACTCCGCTGTATCCATTGTGGTCTGAAAGAATACATGATTATCCGAAATATCCGTGTTTCAATATGGGGAACTAGAGTCACTCGCTTGGCATTATTTAGAGAGATCCGGGATCCATGTTGAACACAAGTTGAACATGACCACTGTACTCCACCAGTAACGTATTTCCAACTCGGCCTATGGCGCTTCTTATCCCAATGCTTCCAATGCGTTTGATAAGGGGAAACCGTTTTACTTTATAAGCAGAAATAAAGATGCTCAAAACAACTTAAAATATTTTCTGGATTTATTTTTGTATTTCTCTCGGACTACAGTTTGGTCTTGACGGCACGGCTGTCCGTCTCCAACTGACTAACAAAAGACAAGTTGAGTAAAAACAAATTAAGCACAAAGAAGAAATTACGTGTCACACAAAGAGATAAGATAAAAGAGTGACATTCTATAGATGGACAATTAAATAAACATGTCACATTAACAGCGTTGTTATAAAAATCACCCGTAAATCCTTGTCGTGGTCAAGGTGTGAAAATTACTTTATGGGATTAACTCTGTTTAACACCAATTGATAATTTGATTAAATACAAAATGGTTCCCGTGGAATGTAAGATATTTTGCTAAACAAATACAGGATCAGAACGCTTTCATAAAATTATCACAAATAGCATCAAAAATAACTATAAAACAAATCAGTAATTATTAGGAATATGAACATTTAAAAATCGTGTAATTTTTCATCACGACAGTACTTTAAGACTTATATTTTTTTTTTTAATTTTACGTATTTTTATACGTGTATTCAAACATCCAATCGTCCAAACCCAGTTTAATAAAATATGTTTAAATAAATAATTTTTAAAACACAACTAAAATGAAAAAATAACTGTATGAATTGATGTATGGGTGTGATGAGCACGGCATGCACACATTTTCATGCATTTTTCCGGTCATAAATTTAAAAAAAAAGGGGGGGGGGGGGTTAAGCCCAATCCATGCATCCGGCCGTGCCTTTGCTAAAATATGCATGACGGTCAGAATTTGATTTAAAGTGTATTAGAACTCAAATCCATTTTATTTGATTTTATAGTGATGTAATTTCATTAATATCACGCAAATTTAATTTCAAAATGAAATACAAATCCTAAAAATACTTCATAACATTTGTAAAAGTTAAAAGGTCCCTAAAGCATACAATAAATATTTAATTATGTCAATGTATATAAAATCCAAACCGAAAACCGAAGGGGGAAGACTCACTATGGTCATTATGGGGTAGTCTCACTATATAGCCATATTCCCCCCAGGGGGGAAGACTCACTATATAGCCAGACTTCCGGGAGGAAGTCTCACTATGGCGGAAGTCTCACTATATGACACCGGTTTTGATACGATCCCTCGCTTCAAAATTTTATTTGAAACTTTTATTTGTGATCCCTATTATTGCCCTAATAAAATGAATGATAAAGAGCGATAATATCTTTAAAAGCCAGAAAAAGACTCGTATATGTCAAAGAAGTGTCTTAATTATTTTATCAAGGAACCTGTGTTGGCTACTTGAAGACAGATCTATAGTTACCTGCCCCCCTTTTTAAATCGTTTTCGGAGAAAGTAAAGATAGCAGTTAAGTTGTTGTTATAAGATTCCTTTAACATCTTCAATAAGGCTTTCTTATATTATGCTACGTATGCCTACCTAGTAATATAGGTGTAACTTACCATGGATCAAGAATGAATCTACAAAGCCTTGCCTAGGCTATCACGTTTTTTGTACTGCCATCGTCCAAAGAGTTCATTTTCATAATCCAATGGTCCTTACAACTTTCAGTCAGAAGTCCGTTTGATGTAAATCTCCAGCAATTGTCACATAATGTTTTCAAAGATGCAGATAACAAAAACTCTAAACTTTGAACACGATCTACTTTCTTTCGAGGTATGTCATAACATCAACGGTGCTACGTCAGTCCTCGGCAAGCCTCGCGAATAAATACACCATTTCAACTCGTTGGATAAAGCCAATATATAGATATCCTCTATATATCAGTACCAAAATATTCCTCGGCATTCTAACTATGAATTTTATATAGTATCATAGTACATTTGTATTAGGCCCTTCATGGAGGCATTGATTTATCAATTTCCAAATTAATGACTATGGTTATTTTTTTAAAGTTATGAATTAATTCCCTTTTGTTAGGTGACAGTATGGCTTTTCACAATAATGCACCCTTTTCTGCAAAAGATGTCGACCATGATACGAATTCCGGAAATTGCGCAGTGGACTATAAAACAGCCTGGTGGAATCTGAGTTGTCTACGAACCAAATTGACAGCGACATACGCCTCATCCGGAAGTAATGTGATGGGCTGGTATGGCTGGGATATGTACAAACCTTTGAAGGTCGTGAAAATGCTTCTTCGCAAACCTTAAAACACATTCCTAAGAATAGAGACTGTTTTCTTTTCTTTTTAGCAATGTATTTCATTATACATGTAATTATTTTTTATGTTTCTGATTGTTTGATAATTAAAACAATTAATTAAAAAAAGTTAATGGCTTTTCGAAGAACATTGTTTTTATTCAGTTTGAAATTCCACCAGAATTGTAGAAATTTGGAGAATGTCCGATACTTGTGCACCATCTAGTGTCCCCAAGTAAGGTTTGCGTCAGACTTAATGTTGCCCCTTAATAAGGCCGGAATTAAAAATATCTTTGTTTCCCCTAACCCGACTTAAAATTCTCAAGTTGGGTCGGTAGGTAGGTAAACAATTTTATTTTCTGACTGCAGCTTTGAAAATACATTCTAAAATTTAATGGAAAGTTACATTTATAAATAATGAAAATTTAAAGAAAGTGATTTGTGAACAAAATGCTAAGTATCATACATATGCCGTTTGTAAGTAAAATTCCTGATTAATTAATTCACAACTGTAAATTAGATGAATTTGTAAAATATCTCACGCCAGATTACATTTATATCAATTGAATAAAAAAGACAAGATTCTCAAATACGCAAAGAATAGACATAGACAGTCAATGTACTTTTTTGAGGGCCATGAGATTTGCAGTGATTCTAGAGAATTTTGCATTGGAGTTAAGAAGTAAGTGGTTAATTTTAAGTCGCAGGTTCAAATTCCAATGAGGAACGATTAAAACAGTCCTTCAAAAGGGACAATAAAAACTTATGTCCAGTGTCGCCGAAGATGCTGTCTTAAAAAAGATCCCCACTGCTTAATGACATAAAAGTGCGTAATACTTCTAAATTTGGAGCAATAGGGAAATGTTCAAATGTCGTCCTAACAAATCTCGAAGGGATTAAAAGCAAAGAAACAACCGATCTTCAAAGGCCTAATTAAAGAAAAATACACTGGATGTCTCAGAAAGCTAAATTATGATTTCAAAACTATTTGGAAAGAGTATGTAAACAATATCTAAATGAACCAAACCTAATCTCTAAATGATAAAAATGCTAGATATAAAACGATGTCATAGTTACGATGTTTAACCAGTAAATAAAGGCATGAAAAAGTACAACTGAATTATTTTTAACAGGATGAATATGCAGACATATTTACAACAACTTCTACGATTCCATAATGGCATATAGTAAACATAGGAACATATATGAATTGTTTATTAGATCAAAACTCTAAATAAATAAAATGCAATGAAATTGAATGATGTGTTCACTAGGCGGGCCCCTCATCTGCTCATGAGGCTTGCCTTTCCATGTATTACATACCTAAAATTCAAAGACAGGTTTGTTTGTTTGCTGTTTACCGTCCCTTGCAAAAATTTATTCACTCTCATGGAGACGCCAAGAGACGTCCGAAACACTCTTAATTAGTCAGGGTAAATTTTATTATCGAATTGTTTCAAAAGTGAAAAATTTCAATTAGCTAAAAGCCTAAGATTGAGACATCGCCGTTTTTTTTTATGAAGAACTACTCTGTAATCACATCTGGGCGTATTTTGTTTCCATCAAATGCTTGAAAAACACAGTAGAACAATGTTGGCCGTTCTAATAAAAACTTATTTTGATATGAAATTGTATTTTATAAAACTTGGTTGACAATAAAAAAAAATTTGAATCATCGTATTTAAAAAATCTTTTCAGTCGGCGCAGTTTAATTTGGTCGGTCGCGTTAGGGGAAACAAAAGTATTTTTTGTGTTGGCCTTAAGCATCAATTTAAACTTTTATCTGCAATCTCTCACTGTTTGAACTGTTTCATATAACCGAATTACAAAAAAAAAAAAAAAAAAAAAAAAAAAAAACCAGAATAGTTGAATTCTCTAAGAGTTCCTTAAACATGTTAAAGAAGTTCGGCAATTGTTAAGCTCTCTGTACTATTCATTTTAATTTCAGGGTACTTTTGTGTAATCATTTGACATAAAATGGGATAAATTGTAATAATATACACTATACCACATATTTTAAAATAAATTCATTAGTATTTTAAAAAGGACATAAGACAAAGATACGTGGAGACTGGTTGACTTAAAATACATTTCCATCTGTGTTTAAATAGTTAGAAAAATACTTCTGTGTCTCGGAGTAAGCCCTCACCACCGGGTCCATAGGATATTTATCCTTTTAACGATAGAACATTCTATCCAGTGTTTAAAATGTCCTTAAAAGGTTTTGCGTCCTTATATTTTCGACGCTTGCGTCAAGATTATTTTCTTATTTTAATTTTTTTGTTTTCAAAAACATTTAAATCCGCGCCACTTTTACCTTCACCTTATCATTAGAGGTAGACCGAGTATTTAAATGCAATCTATCTATAAACGTATACAGGTCACATAGGCAGCGTACCGACGCTGGCAATTATGGCTGTGTATTTCAGAGCTTACTTTGAAAGGTACTAGGGACAGTAATATAATATATATTACCACAAAAAATGTACATGACAAATTATGTGACCTAAAAAGAAATCATTTTAGAATGCTGGAGCAATAACGTAAGTACATATCTTTTATTTAATTTTATAAAAAAAATCAACTTTCGTTTTCATATTTTTCTTTTAATACGGATATTATATTTGCTCAAGCAACTATAATGCATTTTCATAATTTGGTGTTAACGAGTGTTTAATATCATATCAGTCTTAATTTTTATAATTGCTTCATCACTTAGAAGGTAATGCATTTTAATTCAATAAGACCACAGAACATTAACTGGCAAGATAGGTGATATGCAGCTTGCGTCATTTTCGTCTTTTACAGACAAAACAATAAATGATAGACGATGAAATGGGCGGGTCCTATTCGAAGCGGACGGCCGAGAAAGCATTGGATTGAAACTCTTATTTGAAATGCATTTCAAACTTACCAAAAGTTCATTTCATTTTATTGATAAATGTACTCCACTTCAAAATATACTTTTTTTTTTTAATGTTTACACGTCTTTAATTTCACTGCACAAAATATATTCTGCTAATTTGTATTCTTAGTGGATGGAAAAACATATACATTGTCACTTATTCGGGTCTGCGTTCTGCTTATTTAGGTGAAATAATACATGTTTTTCTGTCATTTTTCTATCTACACAGGCAACTTAGCGACATATGATTCTCATATGAGTATCATATGATTCTCATATGATTGGTTTCATATGAGAATCATAGAAAAAGGGCATCATATGTGAATCGTATGAAGGAAATCATATGATTTACATATGATCCACATATGTGAATCATATGAAAATAACTACATATGATTTGCATATGAATAATTTAAGTGTGTTTCAAGCCATTTACATATGAGAATCATACGGAAAGGACATCATATGTAAATCATATGAAACACCTATGTGTGTTTCAAGACATTTACATATGAGAATCATATGAAAGGGGCATCATATGTTAATCATATCATAAAGTTATGTGTGTACTCTTTCAATATTTTTCACATTCTTGTACAAATTTAAATATCAGATATTTCTGCTTTAGATGAAAATTTGTTACATTACAATGATCTATTTTCATTGGTGAAATATTTTAAAATATCCTATAAAGCTTACACAACTTTTTGATAAAATTATTTTCATCAAGAGAAATAACTTATTTTTCACAGTGTACATTCTAATCAAGAAAATATACAAACAAGTCAGTAACATTTGTCTATACATGTTTTTAACATATTCTAAAATGAGTACAAATTATAAGTTTTTAGCAAAATGATTAAGTAGTTAAACATGTATACATGTACGAATGAATAACATGATTAGGTTATGTACTTGTATAAAAATACTATAAGACATGAACGTGTCCACAGCAAAATTGATACATCAGCAATAACATTTGTCATGTATTCTCTATTGTAAATTTATGAAAAATCAAGTTATTTAATATTCCAGCATACAAATAAGAATGGGAAATCTTTACAGGTCAAATTCAGACAAGATGGTGTACATCCTCTCCATTTCATAATAATTCCTTTTATTTCCTTGTTCTTTTTCCTTCTGTATCTTTCAATGTTTTCAGTTGTCCTCCCTCTGATATGACCAATTTGAAACTCTCTTTGAACTGTACAAAAACTACAAATCCGCCAGTTCTCCCCCTTCCTGAACAATTTCTTTGTGGCACAGAATGGTCTCTACAAAAATTTCAAAAATAAAAATAAAATGATTCTTAAATTACAAAATCAATTGTACAAGTTATACTTCAGTAACTTATCATCAGCAAACAAATGCATTCCCAATTCACTGACACAGATATAATACGAGAAAAAATTATGTTATGTTATACTAGGTGTTTTGTGGAATCCTATGATGTAATTTGCAAGACAATTACACTGTTGGAAGATATTGCTTCATATTAAAATCATAAAAAGCTATTTTTTTTATTTTTGCAATTGAATTTGGAATGTTCAAATATATATTAATTCAAATTGCCAAAAATTAAGAAGATTCTGACACAAATATATTACTTTTGGACAAAAAAAACTACAGACAAGTAGATAGGCAGAAAAAACAGACTTTGTGATTCCAGGATATCCCAGACTTTTTTGGGAAGAATATAACAAAGTATATTAAACAGTGTGTAGTTACCTTAACTTTGAAGCAAGCCTTGGATCTTTGGATTTTTTCTTATGAGAGGCTGACTGTATATATATTGAACCTGTAAAACAAATATTCACACAGTAGATATTTTCTAAGCATTATAAACTAAAATTTAAACTACAAAAAAGAGAGAGTTCAAGTTTGTAGGTTCTCAATTGTCTTAAATATCTTACAATTTACCTGAAACTATAGGTTCTTTAGTGTTGGAAAAAAAATTATAAATGTCAATGAATACATAGATGTAAATATTCAATGGATTAGCTATCTGATCTACTTTCAACACATAGTCTGACACATGCACATGTATTTGAGCCTGAAAATTGCCACTGTTAGGCCTATTATTAATTTTTTGCTGAAATTCACAAATTCAATTTACCCACTGAAGTTAT